CTGTCGAGCCCCCGAGGAACTGCAGAGCCACGCGGTAAGCGGGAGCGCTGCTCAGGGGCGTCCCTCGGATGGGCCCCCAAAGAGCTCTACAAGGAAGGAGTTGCACAGTGCTTTATACAGAGACATGAGTCTTGCTGGGTTCAGAGGCGCACACCTGTTGTCCCAGCGATTTGGAAGGCTGAGGTAAAAGAGTTTCCGAGATAAGAATTAGGAGCCTTGGGGCGGGGGGCGGGGGGCGGGGAGATGGCTCAGTAGAATAAGCGCTTGCTTGGCAAGTGTAAGGGCCTGAGTTGAATCCCTGGTTCTGCCAAAAAATAAAATAATAATTAAATTAAATTAAATTTTAAAAAAGGAATTAGGAGCCTTGCGGACAACTTTCTGTCTCAAAATCTTACAAAGGGCAGGGGATATAGCTTAGTAGTAGAGAGCCTTTGGAGTCAATCCCTTTATTAAATGGTGGTAGGAAGACCCTGGAGTCTTGGATATTGCTTGGATCCGGCCACCTGTAAATGAGTGGCCAGATGCTCATCTAGCTGGCAAGAAATAAAAAGCCCTGTGAAGGGTGTTTACTATAAAAAAAAGCCACCTGTTGGGCTCCTGCACACCCCTCTGGGCCTACACCAAATCCCCACCCCTCTCTGGTGGGTAGTCCTTAGCTCCAGCAAGACAGGTGACACACTTGCTTCTCTCCCACCAGAGTGGGCTGGGGAAGTAGCTCAGCGGCATAAGCACTTGCCTGGCAAGTATAAGGCGCCAAGTTTGATCCCCAGTACCAAAAAAAGGCACAATCCTTCCACCGGAGTGCCCAGCTGGGCAGCGGCTGAAGGCACAAACTGCACAAGCCCAGGTCACTATTCACATTTTATTCCCAGCTCTGTGAACTGTGCCCCTGTTCAAAGGAGTATGGCACAGACAGCAGCTCACCAATGACTGTCCCCAACTCAGTGCCATTCACGGAGCTCTCTCAGAAAGCAGGAAGGGCCTACTGCTGGGGACAGAGACCTAGCTGCAGTTAAGATAACCACAGCCTCTGAAGGGAGAGGAGGGTAAGTAAGTCTTTTGGGGACAGATGAACTAGGCCAGGGGTTTTAAAAAGTCATAGAATCTGAGCCACATCAGGGACAGGAAAGGTCAGGCTCCTAAGGTCCAGGAAATTCCAGGAGAAGAACCAGACACCTGAGTGGGGAAGGAGGGAGGGAGGGAGGGAGGGAGGGAGGGAGGGAGGGAGGGAGGGAGGGAGGGAGGGAGGGAGGGAGGGAGGGAGGGAGGGAGGGAGGGAGGGAGGGAGGGTAGGAGTTTCCATTTCCCCAGACAGAGCCCAGCTTGTGGGAGAAGGGAACTCCAGGTTACTGGTGTCAGTGTTTTGGTCCCTTCTTGTCAATGGGGGCAGCCAGCAGCAGGCTCGGAGTGTAGATTATTCTTGAGCCCCTCCTCTTTCTTTATGGACGAAGCCTTGGGAGAGCCAACACGAGTCCATTTCCAAATTCTGGGGCTAAACATGACATTTCAGACACCACTTAATAAACCAAACAGGGATATCCTTTTTGTTCAAGGAGCACTGACAACTAATCAGACATTCTAAAGGGGGTCCAAGCCCATCTCTACCACCACCTCTCTGGGGACTGTGATTGACTCCCTGCAGCTTAGTTGCTCACCTGAACACTGGGATGCTAAAACTTGTTGCCTCAAGGTCATTCTAGTTCCCTTTGGGAGGAGGCTTCCTGGCCACTCTAGCTCCATAGGGCAGGTCGCAGAGCTACAGTCTGCGCACTTGCCACCCCCGCATCCCTCAGGCTATGAAGGAGCCTAATTATTATTTACTGCTGGTCAGGATGGGCCACATCCTCCTCCCACTGACTCTGATTCCCAAGTCCATGTGAGAAGTGACCCTTCCTGAGTGCTGGGGAGCATCTGTGAGGATACAAAAGTAGGGGTGGAGGTCACAGTAGAGATTCAAGCTAGCTTTTCAAGGATCTCAGAGAGCCCCAGGCTCCAGAGCAAACAACTCAGAATCACAGGCTTTCTAATATGCTGGCATCTCAAAATGTAGACCCACAAAATCTTCAGACACTACTTTGTTGAACCTCACACAGCATAGCTAGGAAAGAGCCCAAAGAAGGCCTGCACTGCCACAACTCATTATAGGTGACACAGTATAAGCCCATAAGAAATTGAGATGAGCTATGATGGTGACCCAGAGGCAGGTGCCATGGGAGTTGGGTTGTTCATAAGGAATCTGAATGAATGACTGCTTTAAGGGGAGTAGGGCACCTCCTACTGGCTGTACCAGATGCAAAATGGAAAAGAGTCCTGATATCCATGGGGTACTGTTTCCAGGACCCCTACAAATACCAAAATTTGTGATACTCAAGTCTCTTATATAAAATGGTATAATTTTACATGTTACCTATACATATGCTCCCCTAAACTTCAAATCAGAGATGGGGGTATAGCTCAGTGGCATACGCACCTGCCTGGCAAGCCTAAGGTCCTGAGTTCAATCCCTGGTACTAAATAAATAAATAAACAAACTTTAAATCAATGGCCAGGGCCTTAGCTCAGTGGCACAGTATGCTTGGCAAGCACGAGGTCTTGACTTCATTTCCTGGTACCCCAAAACAAACAAACACCTTTAATCTTAGGTTACTTATAATAGCTAATGCAATATAAATGCTATATAAATACTACATTGTTTACAAGGAAAAAACCTGTACCTGTTTGGGACAGACACAACCATAACAAATCTAACTAAATGGTTGGTTGAATCTGCAGATGCAAAGGTCATGGATACCAAAGACCAACTACACAAGGCTGGAAGAACAAGAGGCCCAGACTTAGGTTTCAGTGTTTTGAACTAGCAGGCCAAGTCCTGCTCCTCCTGAAGGTGTGCTTGTGATAGATACTGTGTTTGTGCCTTAGCTCCCTGGGGAAGGGCTCAGTCTAGGGAGGACTGGGTGTCAGAGGCCAGAGTAGGGGTCAGCCTGTGGTCAGGGCAGGAGCTGAGCTAGTATCTGGATCTGAAGCCCAGGTTCAGCCTGCATTCAGCCAGTTCTGCCTGCATGTTCCAGCCTGCAAGGACTAGAGTCCTACTGGGGTTGGAATCTGAACTCTGGAGCCCCTCTGGCCTCAATGGGCTCGTATGCCCTCAGTGATACCTTCCTGAGCCTGGTCCTATTGGATCACTTGGCTGATGCTCAGGGAGGCAGGGTTGAGGGTCTCTTGGATCTATGGTGGATCTGAAAAAGAAGCCCAGAGCCACCAATTGCAGGTGACAGGCTGAGAGGTTCCTAGGAACAGCCCAGGTTGTACCAGTAGTCCAGTAACCATCTGGGCTCAGTCCATGAACGGGTCAAGGTCCAGGAAGTTCATGTCTATGCCCAGGGACACAGATGCTTGCTGAAGCATTTGAGGTTAAGGACCCTGGAAAAGAGAAATCTCAGGGGAAATGGAGGGCTACGGGCCTTCGTGTGATAGCAGACGTCTGCCATTACCAGTTCTGCCCTTGGCTGAGAGGGCCTCAGGCAAGTGACTTTGCCTGAGAATGAGCTCACCCACCCAGGGCATTCTGTGCCTCTCTGCAGAGACCCCATGTTGGAGCTAACAGCTTCTTACCAGCCACTGAGCTCTGGGCCCCGCCTGCCCTCTCTGGTCCCCTCTCCCAGCCAATGCTTCCCCTGAGTATCTTCCCACAGCCTGACCCGAGGCCAGCTCACTGCTGATGCCAGCTCACTGTCTTCCTCCCCAGTGCAGCCCTGCAGTCAACCCCACACCCACCTGGGATACCCAGGCCTTTGCTGGTCAGGGCTGCTCACTGGCCACAACCGAGCCCAAAATAGCTTTCCCCTTGCCGCTTCCTGAAGTCGGTCCATGGCTTAAGTCTGGGAGGACAGAGAGACACTTGGTGTCTGGCAGGCGTGCAAAAGATGTGAAGGGCTCTCAGAGGTCAGCTGGGCCCAGAGAGGGGCAGGCAGGTGCCCTGGGTCACACAGTGCAGAGGGGCTGGCTGGAGCTTGTGCTTAGGCCCTTGGGTCCCTCATTCTCTCCTAGGCCCTTGCCTGGATGTTTGCTGCTCCTCTCACCAAACTCTGGATCTACAGACTGGCATACTGAGGCTGGTTTGATGTGTGTGACCCTGGCCAACTAATGTAGCCTTCTATCTCCCTTGCTAAGGATCATTTCCTGGCTTTTCTGGCCACAAGAAACCTTTATGCCTTGACTCCTCCCCAGCTTTACTGTGCGACTTCAGGTAAGTCTGTCCATCTCTGTGTTTTTTCATGAGGCAGATGGTCCAGCTTAACCCTGCACTCCGTCCCTCCTACCCCAATGGATTACCTGGAAAGAAGAGACAACCTTCTGATGGCCTGGACTCCTCTGGGTGACCCTTCCTGTGGTTGCTGTGACATGGGCCAGACATGGCCTGAGTGACTAGACATGCTTGCTCAGGCTCTCCCTGTCCTCCAGCCTCCCATATGGCCAGAGCCATGTTTCCTGTCTTCCACGAGGCATGGAGACCCAGGTAAGGAAGATGTGAATCTACACTCTATCCTGTAGCAGAAGGGAGACCTTGAAGAAGACATCTCACCTCTCTGTGCTGTTTTTGCCATGGAAACAGGGTAGCAAAGGAACCAACCTCCCAGGCCATTGTGAAACTTCATGCTTGGAGCAAGCAGGGAGTAAGTGGAAGCTGGGGTTGCTATGTTACATTCAGACCCAAGTTGGATTTTCCAGGTTTAATTCAACAAATATTTATTGAGCATCTACTCCTAGGTGTTGCACAAGCCTAGGGATAGAAAAGAAAGTCCTCTTAGCTCATTCCCATTCCACTTGGGTCTGCACAGGGACCCCTTGCACCAGGCTCTCACACCACTGTGGTTCGACTGTTGCCTCTTTTTAAAAAATTATTTTTATTGTTTTGTGGAACTGGGGATTGAACTCAGGCTCTTGCGCTTTCCAGGGAAGCGCTTATTCTACTGAGCCATCTCCCCGGCCCCGACTGTTGCCTTTTAACATCAAACCCAGCTCTGCTTTCTCCTTGTTCCCTCAGAGGCTGGCCATGGCTACCCTCTTTGAAGCAGTTTTCCATCATGGCTGGCAAAACAGCCTCATGCTGTCTGAAGCCAGGGTGACCAGGAGGAAGATGAGCAATGTGACAGGATATTGTTTCTTTGCCTCGGTTCATTTTATTAACATTCAGTGAGGTGCACACTGACGTGTACTTTCTCATAGAAAAATTATACAAGAAAGTGTCTGATAACAATACTGATACCTGGGCTCCTTCTGCGGGTTCTGACTGCATTGGTCTCAGTGGGCCTGGGGTCTAGATGAAATCCTTGATTTTAAGGGAGCTAAGTCTTTCAGGAGTGCCTGCCGGGCTGAAGGCCTGAGGCCTGTTCACTCAGGACTTCCTTGCCCAAAGCTCACGGCTCAAGCTCAGCACTTGTGGGCAGCCATCTCAGGGTGCCCGCTGCCTTGGATCACCTTTCAAGTAACAGCAGGCCATGTGGGTGCCATTCCTACTGAGTACTTAAACTGGGAATGAGGCAGATTTGCTGTGGGTATGTTGTACCAAAATTGAAGTCTGGGTCAGGCCTCTGTTGAGGGGCTGGGAGTCCCGCGGCAGCAGGAGCTGCAAAACATTGGAGCAGTTGGCTGGCAGCAGTGGAGGGGCTGGAGGCTCATGGGGGAGGAGCCGAGGGGTCTCTGGATGGAGGCCTGATATCTGAGCCACCACTCCCTCTGAGTCACCTGCTGCTGGTTAGTCTTCATAAGGAATCTCTTCCTTACAACCTAAAGACCCATGGACAGCAGTCAACCATCCTGTTCTGGAAAAAACTATGTGTCCCACTTTACAGCTTTACAGCTGGTAAAAGTAGTTCAGATGGCTACAAACTGCAGCCGGTTAGTGGCAAAGTTAGGATTCCCAACAGGGTCTGTCCAGCTGCAAAGCCTGTGGTCTTTCTAACGATTGATTTCATGAATTCCACGTGAACATTGTTTTGTGCTCTGTAATGGATCCTCTTAATCTCCTCCTCCCTGGACAAATGGTGCTGCAGGGAGATGTTTCATGTATGTACAGTGGTGCTGAGGACCCAGCAAACCCCTGTGAGACCTATCACTGTCCTCCCCTGCAGGAGCTATTTTTTTAAGTGCTGGGGAATCAAACCCTTCAGGGCCTTGCACATACTAAGCACCTGCTCCACCCCAGCACTTTTGAGTCAATGCTTAGGCTGAAGATGCTCCCACATGTTGGGGGCACAGCTGACACATGACCTGCCTTAAGTCCTTGCAGGGGCACCACAATGTGAAGGGCTCTTTGGCCCTACGTGGAAAGTGTTGCTTTGCATTGTTCTGACTGAATGACACACCTCTTTGTTCAGAATCCGACTTGGATTCTGCCTATGCTCAGAAAACTAGAAAAGTGGACTCACTATAGTCATGGTCAGGGTTCTCCAGCCAGGAGGCTTCACTGGAGAAGTGTTTCCTGGAGGAGCCTTCATCTCCACTGCCCTCTTTTTTTTTTTTTTTAACCATACCAGGGATTGAATTTAGGACCTTGCACTTGCCAGGCAGGTGCCTATGCCACTGAATTATATTCCCAGCCCCAACCCTGATCATTTGGCTGCAGCTGTCAACTTGTTTCCCAAGTCCATCCCAGACTGACTCAGAGGCTTCTGATTGATACATAAATTACATCCAAACTATGTGTGCTTGCATGTTGTACGTTTGCATATGTCAACCAAAAGGGATTCTGATGGGTTGCCCAATTACTAGACTAGCACAATTCCTTCATTTTCCCGAAAGGAAACTACAGTCCAGACAGGTACAGTGACCTGTCCCAAGTAACACAGCAAGTCAGTGGCAACCTCACCACCTCAGCATGACTCGTGGTCTCCAAGGCCTCCTTTCTGTTCAGGTGAGTTGGTGTTGGGAAGCCCTCATGGCTGGGAAACAAAGCCCCGGGGTTGCTGGCACGAGGCCACTATGGCTACCAGCGGGGAGCAGTCATTTGGTGTTTCTATTTATTGACTTTAAATTTCATCATCCAAGAAGTTAATACATGACTGTTGGGTAGCAAGAGAGACATAATCTAAGACCACAATGACCCACCCACCCCAACAAAAAACAAACAGAACCACCAAACCCCACCTGAAACCAGACCTTTGGAGTTGTAGCTGAAGCGAGGGGCTGAGAGTCAGAGTGGCTCCCTGCAGCCTGGGAGGCAGGGGAGAAGCTGCTCTCAAGTGGAAGTTTCCCATTCGAAGAGGCCATACTCAGCCTCTCAGCTCTGGGAGTCCTTCCTCAAGGGGCTGCCTCTGACAGGAAGAGTTGTAAGGAGAGGGATTCAGTGGTCAGAGTGAGGGGCTCCTACGTGTCTGCCCGCCAAGGTGACCATCTATGCCAGTGCATGAGACACAGGAAGGCAGGAGCTGGGGGCTAGGGCCAAATGCAAGGAATGAGGGCCCTTTTCTCTTACCTGAGAGAAAGCCCTGTCCAAGGCTCCACCAGTGTTCCTAAATTAAGAAACCATTGAAGGCACCACCAACACACTGGGAAATGCTAAAGCCTGGCTTCACAGGAGTTACGGCCCCCAGTAACCATCACTTTGTTCTGGATGACTAAGGGCGCTTGGTCCTTGCCTCTGGGTCAGGATGGGCAGCTCCCCCAAGAGAAAGTCTATCGAGAGGAGGTGTTTTGGTGCCCCGGACATGCAGAGTGTGAGAAAGAATGTGTGTGTATGTGTGTGCGCGCGCATGTGTGTAATAGGGGGAGACACTGGCTCCTCCAGAAGGCTTGGGTAGGGTTCCAGGGTGGCTCCTTGGGCAGGAAATCAGTTTTTGCCCTCCTGTCATTTCCTCACACCACACCCTGCCCCAGGTCATAGCATAAATAAGTGCTTTGGAAAGTATTCATCTAGAAAGGAATATAAATACTGTACACGGGAAAGGATGCTATCCCTCAACCTTCTGCCCCCAGAAAATCCTCCAAATATTGCACATGGCCCTCCCCAGCCCTGTGGAGTCCAGGCCTGGCAGTGTCTTTGGTAGAAGCTCCAGGGAAGAGGTCCCAAGCAGCCTTCATGCCCTACCCTGGTTACAACTGGGAGCACCGGAGCAGCCAGTGTGTCAGGGAGGCGTTGGCTGGTCAGCGGTGTCCAGCAGGAATGCTTCCGCAAAGACGAGAGGAGCCCACGCAGCCATGGGTATGTCCCCAGTCAGACACTCCTGGTCAAGATCTTTGTGGGAGCGAGAGAGAGACAAGCAGACTGAGTGCAGGTGGGCAGGCCATCCCAGGCCACAGTGGACAGGGTCACACCCTCCATAGGAGGAGGTGGTTTGTGCTGTCATCTCGGCCCACAGTCTCACTGCTGCCAATGCCCCCACTGCTGAGCCGGAAGTCCTCATAGCCGTCACCTCCACTGATAACCAGCATTTGAGGCCTGGCCGAAGTAGGGCCTCGATGCCGAGGGGAGTCCCGGTGCTCCAGGGCTGGCAGCTTCTCAGGGCCTGGGGGACACAGGAGGATCCATCAGTCTGAGGTGACTATGGTTTTACTGTCCCATCCTGATCTAGCAAGAAAGATATGATATTTCCTATGAGGGATCCACTTCCTGTTATCGAGGAGCTTATTTGGAAGGAAATGCCCACTTCCTAGTAGTCAGGCTTCTTAATTCCCTCCTAAATTTTCTAGCTAGGAATGATCTAACTTCCTAGGGCCAAGCTGTTTCTCTCTTGATTACTGCACATGTCAGTACTCTTGCTACCACTGATTTCAATCAAAAGCTGGGTAAGGGGCTGGAGAGATGGCTCAGTGGTCTAAAGCACCTACTTGAAACAAGCTTGGCAAAGCACAGGGACCGCGGTTCAATCCCCCAGCACCACATGCCAGCCAGCCCCGCCCCCTGGTGGGCTGAGCTGGCCACACACACAATAAATAAATGTAATAAATAAAAATAAATAATTAAAAAAAAAAAAAAAAAAAAGCTGGGAAACACAGGTTGATGGCTGACTAGATTAAACGATTGTAGCCCCCGTAAGATTTTAGCAGAACCAAAAAATCCCTATTGCCAACTGGGTGTTTACATAGAAAAATCTTGTCTCAAAAAAATAAAAACAGAAAAACATCTATCGCCTAGTGACTTCTTTAAAAAAATGGTACTGGATTAACCACTAAGAAGAATATGTGCAGTGTGTTAGTTACTGAAACTGTCCTACCGATTTGATTTGAAACTGTCTCATTGCTATCTTTATCAATAAAAGTAAAAAAAAAAAAAAAAAAAAAAATGGCACTGGGACTTGAACCTAGAGGCTTAATACTAAGCTACATCCCAGTCCTTTTGTAAATTTTTGGGGTTTTTTGTATTTTAGGGTAGGGTCTACAGGGTCTCACTACATAGATCAGACATGCAGTGATTCTCCTGTTTATAGCCTCCCAAATGCTGGGATTACAGACACGCACCACCACACAGTCTCAACTGCCATCTCAGCACACCCCGGGGCAGGGGTAGCAAGGCACGCTGTGTGTCTTTTTTTTTTTTTCTTCCCCTGGTACTGGGGAGGTTCTTTTGTTTTTGTTTTGTTTTGTTTTTTTGGCAGACCGGGGATTGAACTCAGGTCCTTGTGCTTGCCAGGCAAGTGCTTATTCTACTGAGCCATCTCGCCGGCCCTGTGTGAGTCTTTTTGAGACAAGAGTTGCACTATGCAGTTCAGGCTGGTCTTGAATTCACTTTATACCCACATTGGCCTCAAATTTGCAGTAATCCTCCTGCCTCAGTCTCCCAAGTGCTGGGATTATAGGTGCGCACCACCACGCCTGGCCTATTTTATAAATTTTCGGACAGGGTCTCAAATTTATTTATTTATTTTTTGTTTGTTTGTTTTTGGTGGAACCGGGGATTGAACTCAGGCCCTTGCGCTTGTCAAGCAGGGTCTCAAATTTAGCTAAATCACTAAATTGCCCAGGCTCAAACTTCTGATCCTCCTGCCTCAGCTTCCCAGAATGCTGGATTAACATGTGTACACTACCATTCCCAGCTGATGATGTAGCCGGTTTAAGAATATAGCACAACAATAAGGGCCAGCTAAATAGCTCAGTGGACTAAAGTGCCTGCTTAGGCAGAGAGCAGTGGCCAGGGTTCAATTCCTGGCTTGCCAAGCCGGCCCTGCCCCTGGGGTGCGCTGAAAAGGTGATTGAGACTGGGTGTCGTGGCACATGCCTGTAATCCCAGCGCCTGGGAGTCTGTAAACAGGAGAATCACTACGAGTCTGATCTTCATAGTGAGACCCTGTAGACCCTGCACTAAATACAGTAAAAAAAAAAGATTGGCAAGAATATAGCACAACACATTACTTAAGGGTCCATAATGATAACTGGTATAAACAGATTGACTGACTATGTTAGCAGTACTATAAATGAAGAGAACATACAATTATGCATAATAATACAAAATACTGAAATCGCTAGTACACGACTATGTTACTGGGTCATGGACACAGTTGCTGGGGTTGAACCCTCGGGCCTATGCATGCTAAGCCAGCTCTCTATCACTGAGCCCCAACCCCAACCCTATACTTTCTAAAACTTTTTTTGTTTGTTTAGTGAAGAGCCTACAGGGTGCTCAGGGTCTCACTACTAGATTGGACTGATCTGCCTGTTTACAGCTTCCCAAGAGCTGGGATTACAGGCGTGCACCACCACGCCCAGTCTCAATTGCCATCTCAGCACGCCCCGTTGGAGGGGGGGAGGGGCGCGGCACGGCAGGCCCTGGGATCGAATCCCCAGCCCCTGTGCCTGCTTGCAGGCGCTTTAATCCGCTGAGCTATTTGGCCAGCCCTTAAAACTTTTTTTTTGGGTTGTGGGGGGTGGAGATAAAATCTTGCTCCATTGATCTCAAACGTGCCATTTTCCTCCCTCAGTCTCCTGGGATTATAGGCATGCACCACCCTGCCTGGATAACTTTTTATTGTTGTTTCATAATATACTACTTATGCAAAAAAATGTTTAGCTATACAGTATACCATATTATGCTGGCAGCAGCCTCCTGTATCTTGTGTTACTGTATTTCTTCCTATGTCATTTTCCCCCCATAATTTTATTGATAAACAAATAGCAATGAGACAGTTTCAAATCAAATTGGTAGGACAGTTCCAATAATTAACACATGGCATATGTTCTTCCTAGTGGTTAATTGCTGCCTATGTCATTTTTTGCCTTGATTTTACCTTACATTGTTCTGTCCAGCATGGCCCCAGAAGCAACCGGTTACCGCACTCCTATTTATGACCTAGGTGCCTATCAGCTACACCGTCTAGGAGGGATGAGTATGCTCACAATGAAGAAACTGCTTTTCCAAACCAACATGTGTCCCTGTTGTTAAGTGGCTCACGACTGTATCCACCATTCCTGTATCTAAACCCACTTCCCCTTTTGGTAGCTGAAGTCTCTTCCGGACCTACACAGCTTCTGACAGAAGCTTTACTGCTCCCTAATTCCCGCAGCCTCTTCCTCTTGGTAATATGACCTCTGATTGAGCAAAACTTTTTTTTTTCAAAACAGTGTCTCACTATGTAGTTCAGGCTGGTCCTGAATTTTCCACGTTAGCCCAAGTTGGCTTCAAGCTTGTGGTAATCCGCCTGCCTGAGTGTGAGTGTCCACGGGCTGGGATTATAGGCGTGCGCCATGGTGCCCCACTTTGTGCAAGACTTTTCTGATTGCGACCTCTCTGACGGATCTCATCTCCCATGGTGGCACTTTCTCACTCTCACAGGCTGCACCCTGCCGTATATGCCATTTGATGTCCTCTGTTCTGGTGCTGTTTCATTTCCTGCATTGCGTATCACTTCCTGAATCTCCTTCCTGTCCCATACACCACTTCTAGTGCTATATATCCTGTTGCGTATAATACACACATACAACAGGATATATTTCCTACAAACATATCTTATCTGTGCTGTATTTTATAGCTTAGCTTACAGTTTACTTCCTATCTCCCATGACATTTCTTTGAGCAGAATTTTATGTACATTAATATACAGACTCAAGGCACACATTCAACACACACCCAGTACCCTTTTGGATTTCATTTTGGAGATTTTATACTTTCCCCCTGGTTTTCTATGTGACGCTGAAGATCAGACCCAGGGCCTGGTGCATGGGTAGGCAACTGCTCAATCCCTGAGCCAAGCCCCTGGCTCGTCCTCCCTCTTAAAACTCTCTGGAAGGACAGTGAGGAGTCCTAAACCCCAAGCCCTGGGTTGGGGCAGGCTGCACAGACCCACCTGTGTCTGAAGGAGGTGGTGGGGTTGGGCAGAGAAGGTTGAAGCCATCTGGCAGCTGGACTGCAGCCAGGAAGCGGACATGGCCCGTGTGCCCCTGGCCCAGGCCAGCAGGACTGAGAGGTGCCCGTGGGCAGCTGACCGTACTGGGGGAGGTGGGCATGGTGAGCACCACGCCAGCACTGGTGCCCACCCACAGCAGCTCTTCGCACACCAGCAGCGCTGTGATCCGCAGGCAGGCAGCTTTGTGCTGCCGGATGATGGCATCTGAGCCTGTGTGGGAAAGAGAGCAGCTCTGGGGCACAGTGGTGGCCCATCTCAGTCTCTTCAGTGGTGGGCCAAAGGCTCTAAAGGTGCAGGGGCAGCTTGAGGACGGTACCTGCCAGCATCCTGTGCACAGGAGGAGTGACATCCACCTCTGCCAGCTGCTCAAAGGTGTCTGCGTGGTAGAGACACACATGAGCACTGCCTTTCAGTGTCACCCACACGCCCAAGCTGGAGTCCACCATGCAAGCCACGCTTCGGCTTGAATCCTGCCCCACACAGAACGTGTGCTGTGGGAGAGGAGAAGGCAGAGAGCAGACTGGTGAGGTGTGGGCCTGTGCCCCGACGCCCCTGCCCTCATCTCTCCCTCCAAACCTGCCCACCAAACCTATCTGAATGCCCATCAGGACTGACAGCCCAGGCCATGTTGGTGCAGGGTGTGCGTGACGAACCTTCCAAAGCTTGGTGCACTGGTGCCTCCCCACTTAGCCCCTGGGAACTAAAATGAGGGTGCCCCGTGCACCTCAAGTGACTCAATGCTCAGAGAACTGCAGGACTTGCCGAGTTTTAAGACTGGTCATTGGCCACTCCCTGAACAGATGAAGAAGCCCTGCTTGGGGAAAAGCAACCTGCCCAATGTCACACAGGAGCTGTGTCAGCCCTGGAGCTGGGGCCTGAACCTCGCTTTGCCTCCAGCTCAGGCAATAAGGCAATGAGGGAAATCAAGGCGGCTCACTGCCCAGGTATACCAGCTGGGCCAGAAACCGCTGGCATGCATGGAACAAAACCAGAACTCCATGCCAGAATCTACTGCTAAAGAATGGAAACATCAGAAAGGATCCCTGCCTTATCCCCAGGAGATCCCAATACTTGTGCTGACAAGAGTGTGGGCAGGAGGCTAGGGAATCCTAACAAACACAGCACTTACTGTCTTCTCTTAGCTAGAGAAGAATTGGTCAGAGAAGGACAGGGACTAGCTGAGTATCCCACAGGGGCCGGGGGAGGGTCCTCAGCCCTCAGCTGAAAGCTCCTCTGCTCCCAGGGCGCATGTCCTGCTCAGGTGTGCCCACCTTCCTCTAAGCCATCCATTCCATCTCCCTTCCCCCGCTACCTCTAGCTGCAGCGTGTCAGGGCTCAGAACAAGGACTCGGTGCTGGCAGCCACACCACAGCCGCCCACCCACAGACACCATCTTGGTGATGGGGCTCCCCTGAGCACCTAGGGTCACCGATTTGAAGTTCTGGGGGTCCCAGAAACGACCTGGAGTAAAGAAAACAGGAGATTTAGTGCAGTACTGAATTTAAGTGTCACCCTCCCCTGAAATGAGACGTGAACGCACACTGATAAGCGAGGACACCAAGGCCTGGGAGCAGCGCAAAGCCCTATCTCTGGCCCCATGAGTGGGAGGCCCCTACTTTGCCCAGGAGAGAGCTTTATCGGGGTGAGCAGGGTACAGGGACACCCACCTGCTTCCCTTTGGTAGATGATGAGTTCTCCATTGGCCAGAGACACAAACACCTGGTTATTCAGATACCTGGGCGGGGAAAAGGAGGAGTCAGGGATTTGGGGAGGACAAAGTGGGTTACTTGGGGGCCAGGGAACCACTAAGTGTCGATGGCTCCTGAGAGATCGCCTCTTCTCCAGGTGGGCTAAGCCTGAGGCGAAGAACAAGTTCACAGTGTGAAGGGAACAGCTGGCCTGAGGCTCTGTCCTAGGACCTCCCCAGAAAGGAGGAGTTGATAGGGCAGAGGCCCCAGGTGAACAGAGGGGGCCTGGGTGTGTGGCGGGGAGGGCTTCGGATAGGACGAGCACACGGGGGCCTTACAGGATGCAGGTCACAGAGGCTGCATGCTGGAGCTTCATGCTGTTCCTGCGATCACGGATGCTGTCTGAGGACTGGTACACATGGACACTGCAAAACAGGGTAAGCACCTGTGACAAATGCTTACACACAGCCCCGGAGGTGTTATCCCTCCACCTTGGCCTCCACCCACCTCACCCTTGCACCAGATACCTGTACAAGACACTAGATCCCACAGCCTCTCTGTGGCTTTTAGGCCATCTGGTATCCTGGCTGACAGGACCCAAAGCCCTCCTGCTTCTGCTTCAGGACAATATATGATGTCCAGAGCATGAAGCCCAGTCCCGACACTCATCTCCTGCCCCTACCAGCCATCCTCGGTGCCCAGCCACACAGAGCTCTGGTAGGCCTCCGGGTCCACACTCAGCAGGTCCTCAAGGCTGCCCCGTGTGAAGGAGCCGCGGCTGGAGCGGCGCAGGGCTCTGCCGTCCATTGGGCTGGTGCCACAGGGTCCACTGGGCCCAAAGGAGCCAGACAGTGGCAGGAAGCCAGGCTCTTGCTCCTCCTCGGAGCTGGTCGTCTCTGCTGTGGCTTCTTTGGAACTTGGGGTCTCCTCATCTGAAGGGAACGAAGGTCTCTTCAGAGCCTGGTCTCCACCACCAGGCCACAGACGTGATATCTTTCGAAGCCTCAGCTTCCTCTTACTACTCCTTCTGTATCTTGTTATCCTGCTGACAGTGACCTCACCTACAGGTTACTAGTCCTAGCTGCTACCTGCCTTGGCCAGAGGGACCAACCAGTCTACCCAGTTCTGCCTTAACTGGGCACTCCAGCACCTTTGGGGTCCCGCCTGCCTATCTTACTGTCCTCTGGGTCCTCAGTGTCACAACCCTGGCACACTTGCTGGTCAAGGTGCTCTGTGTGCAAGCATCCCAAGCCCTCCAGCCTTGGCCTCCGCCTCCCCAGCCCCAGCCCCAAGCCCGGCACTCACTACCAAAGCTGGAGGAGATGGTGGACCGACTGGCTTGGCTCTGCAAGGTTCCTGAGGGGCTGGGCGAGGACTCATCATCAGAGTCGCTGTCAAAGGGCACTAACTCAGGGCGAGAGTCACCCTCCGTGGGGCCGGGCGCCACCTCCAGGCCAGAGCCTGAGATGGAGATGTGCAGGCAGGGCTGCGACCCTGTCTCGGCCACTGCCACTGCTTCTTCCTCTGCTGCAGGCTCAGCATCCAGCTCCTGCCCGGCCGGCTCTGGGGCATTCTCTTGGGGGTTCCTCAGTGATTCTGGATGTTCCCTGAGTGACCAAAAGAGCAGGGAGGGAGAGAGTGGTTAGGAGGTGCCACCTCAGGGGGACCCTGGAGTATGGGGGAGAGGCGGTCCCTGGGCCAGAGCACACCGACCCTATCCCTCACCGGTGGCAGTGGGGCTGCAGGCCGGGCACTGCTCCGATGCAGAGGATGCGGGCCGAGCACACAGCAATGCAGGCCTCCACGTCAGGCTCTGCACGCAGGCTCAGCAGGCACACCTGGCCCACATAGCCGTCGCTGTTGCACACCCACACCTCGGGTGTGGGCTCTGGGCAGCTGCTGAGGGTGGGGGCCGCACATGAAAACTGTAGATGCACCAAAGGTGAATGGAGGAATTAATGCCAGCATCCCTTCTAGCAGGAGATCTCAGCAGAAAGGAGGGAGGAGGGCCCTCATGGGTATGTGTTGATTCCCCATGTACCCCTCCACCCTTCTCCACACAGCACACGTGATACTCTTAACGCACCAAGTGCATTCATACTGCATGACATGAGCCTCATCCACAAGCCTCACTGCATGTCCACACACACCCTGAATATGACTGTGGATATGTCACAAATGTGACACTGGTAACCTCTGAACATACGTAATCAGACTCATGCAAGTCTATAACTTAGACACATCAATCACATCAATCTGAAAGCCTTCCTTCACATGAACAGACAGACATAAGAAACACCACACTCAGGGTCCACATGCATATACAGAGAGCTGCATACATGAAAGACATAGAAAGGAATTGTAACTTTTAAGACACATATGCGATGCTGTGTGCAGAACGAAAATCATGAACACGTGGGCTTTGACACATGCATCCACACCACCCACGTGCATACACACACCTGCATGCCACTGCGAGTTTTCATGATGGGGATGGCCTTCAGGAACTCAGGGTCTAGGCAGCTTTTGCTGGATGCTGTGGTGGAGATGGATGGACAGATAGACAAGGGAAGGGACAGACAGAAGGACACAGACCCGGCTTAGCATCCACCTCATCCTGGCCCTGCCCCAGCCCCATTCCCATTTCCCTCCCTCCCCTAACCCTCAGGGTCCATCTAGGAAGGGCATGATCCCAGGTGAACTATAGCTAGGGAATGCAGGTTTTGTCCTGCTGTTTCTGGTCTCGGTATTTTTTTTTTTTTTTTAATGTATTTATTTGTTATAGGATCTTGCTACACAGCTTGGACTCTCAAGTGATTCTCCTGTCTCAGTCTCCCTAGTGCTGGGATTACAGGTGTGTGTCACCATGCCTGGTTTCAGGGCTGGCACAGCATGTGGTATGGGGATCAAACTTGGGTCCTTGCGCTTGCCAGGCAGGTGCTTAGGCTGCTGAGCTATCTCCTCATCCCTGGCCTTAGTATTCTTATCTTTGTAACAAGGGTATTAGAGCTATAAATCTCTAAGCCATGACCCTGCTCAACAGCTTTCCTTGATTCAGCCACGTGTGGAGGCGGGGTGGGAGGGTCTTGTCTAGTCATGACCATAATGGCACTGCTGCCCTAAGATGACCCTATCTCTAAGATTTCCCATCAGGGAGGACCTGAGGAGGCCACAGTACCCAGTCCCCGTAGAAGCCTCAGTCTACCCTCCCTGCCAGCTGCTGCAGCACAGGACACTGCAGTTCTGGGGTTTCAGCCTTCTGAAGTCAGACACTGCCGGCAGACACTAGGAGGAGATGGCTGGTATAGGCCCTGGCTCACCCAGCTTCCTTTTGGCCTCATCAAAAGCCTGCTCGAAGCCCAGGCGGGCATCAGGGTGGGGGAACTCAAAGATGAAGGAGTCAGTGCCCTCGGGTCGGGTGGCACACAGCTCCAGCTTGGTGGGTGGGAAGGAAAGCGAGTAGCACAGAGCCTGCTTCTCTGACAGGTCCCGGTGCATGGAGGCTGAGAGGTCCCGCAAGGCGTCATCCAGGATCTGTGGGGAAGAATGTCCAGGCTTCAGGTCCAAGGTCTCACCACAGCCAGCACTGGTCCTTGGGAGTATGTGTGGGACTGACCTCCTCCATCCGACAGGAAGTGGGACACTGTCTCCTCTCTTAGACCAAGAGGAAACCAGGATTTTCCCCAGACGGGCTGGGCTGTGTCTCCCCCTCCAAGGAGATAGAGCCATGTCTCCACCTTCAGGCCTACATCATGTTACTTCCCTCAAATAGGAGTCAGGCTGTAATTTTCTGCTTCTGATAAATGACAGGGGTGTCTCTTTCCTCAAGCAAATGCCAAGGCTATGTCTTTCCTTCAGAGTGTCAGAGAGTCCCCGCCCCCACCCCCAGCCTCAGGCAAGGGGCACAGACCTGGTGGGGGAAGCCGAGGCTCTCAGAGAGCTTGCTCATTTGGCCCAGGGTGGCCAGGTCTTCATCCAGGCGGCTGATGGCCTTCTGGATGTTCTCCCGATTGGTGGCTTGGGATGCCCCTGGAGGAAACAGAGGAAGCCCACAGACAGACAGGTAGAAAAGGTCAGGCTTGACCAGACGTTGTTCCCTCACTGTACAATCCACAGCTAGACAGGAGGACTGGCCCAATGAACTTACAGACCCCAGGACCTCAGGAACACTATTAATAGTTAAGCCAGCTCCCAGAGAAACCTCGGGTCTGAGAGCAGGGCGAGATCTGTTCAGAGGCACGTGGCAAAGGATGCCTGGACCTTAGGGACCCCACTGGAAGAGCACAAAGTACGGAACGGCAGACAGCGTTACAGGCTGTGCAGGCTGTGGCGGGCACTAGGCTGCAGCAGGCAAGCCAGCCATGCAGAACTGCCAAGCAGGCAGCGCCTCAGGCAGCGGGATCTGCTGACCGAGGCACCACCGCCCCAAAAGGAGGGAGCAGTGAGCTGATGCCCTAGATTTCTCTGGTCTTGTCCACTGCCATCCTACACTCTGGACCAGTGGCCCAAATGTGGGGCTGTCCCTCCATTCCCTGGACCAGAACACCAAGTCTTCAAATCAAGAGACGGGAAACTTTTTTTTTTTTGCTCTTCTAACAGTTGTTTTTTGCCTATCTTTTCTTCTTAGAGTATACTGATGGTGAATATGCGTTCAGTTAGTTGGGTCAAAAGCTAACTTAATGGTAAGAGAGAGTCGTATCAGCACTAGAGGACGAACAGAATTTGAAGTTGTTTTTTTTGGGGGGGGTGCTGCTCAGGATGCCTTCAGGGCAGGTCTGCTTTAGCTCGAGGATGAGAGAATCAAACCACAGCATCCTGAGCCTGACTGCTTTGTTTCAGCAGGCACTTAAACACCTGAGCTAATGGGTGGGCTCCCGAGGAACAGATTTTGAGAGGGACCCTGAAATGGCTCTGTGACCTGGAACCCTGCAGGGGAGGGGGATAGGCTCTTGAGGAAGGGTAGGGAAGCGAAATTAACTGCAAGGTGGCATCACACTGAACAGAGGCTGTATTATTGTGTGTACAGAAAAAAAAAAAAATTGTGGGTGCTGAAAGAGCAGTGGTGTGGACCAGGCAACTCAAGGATTGGAATTTCTCTGCCATCATCTGGTTCTTTTTTTTTTTTTTTTCTTCGGAACCAGGGATTGAACTCAGACCCTTGCACTTGCCAGGGAAGTGCTATTCTACTAAGCCATCTCCCCGGCCCCTCTGCCATCATCTGAACGTCTGGATCTCTTCAAAATTCAAATGCCCAAATCTAATCCCTGATGTTTTGGCATGAGGTGGACTCTTAGAAAAGTGACAAGTCCTTAAGGATGGTCTCCTCATGAATGTGATTGGTGCCCTTCTAAAGAGGCCTGGGAGAGCTTGTTTGTCCTTCTTGCCAAGTGAGGTCACATATTAGGAACAGGCCCTTCATCAGACTAGCATCTTGATCTCGTCCCAGCCTCTGGCTTTGTGAGCAGTAATTTCCTGCTCATTTTAAATTATATAGTCTGTGGTATTTTTGTTATAGCAGCCCACAGAGACTATAACAACCTCCCATTCTGGAGAGAAATTGTCCCACTCACCCTTCACTGTGACTTGGGCAGCCATGTTTTTTTCCATAGAACTCTGCCTTACTGCTGACCACAGCTGAATGGACTAGGATGGGCACTTGACCCAAAAGTGGCCTGTTCTTCAGTGAGAAGAGGTGAGATGGACTGACAGCACCTGCAGCCTGAATTCCTGACAGGGCCTTGTGGAGACAGTCTGGTTCACCTGGGGGCAGCTCTCAGCTGGGCTTGCAGACAGCACAGGCCTTATCCCTCGCTACCAGGAAGCGGAGCAAGCTAAGAGCAATAAGGCTCCTACGGGGCTGACTCAGCACAGGAGGAAAAGAGAGGCGGGAGGAGGGGCACCTCCTTGCAGCTGCCTCAGCTCCTGACAAACTCAGCCTCAAATGACCTGCATCCCTTCCATCAACCCTTCACTTGTGCTGTTACCTGGGTACAAAACCACTGAGCCAGAATGGTGCAACTTATCTAACATGAGGTGTTCAAATGAGCTTGTAGGGAGGAATCAATGGCTAATTACAATTACAGCATGCCTGCTCTCCCCGCACCCCAGCCAGCCCATCTGCCATCCCAGGTCCCACCCAGTCAGAAGGGGATCTCCATGACAGGCTATTCTGGTTCTGTGGGTACTAACCACGACCCTCGCACCAGCCCCTCCAACCAGATGGCCAGCCGGCCAGCCCGTCCAGATCCCTGCCAGGCACCAACAAGCCCTACCTTTGATGATGTCTGCATCTTCCAGAGGCAGCTTCCACAGCATCTTGTACTTGCTGGCTGTGTCAATGACGCTGGCAGCTGTGTACCTGTGGGCAGCCAAAGGGGTGCTTCGGCCAGTGTGGATAAATGGGGCCCAGGCGGGGCAGCTGTTCCTCCTGCCCCTGCCACCCAGCCCCGCCGTAACCGCTCACAGGCTCATGGAGCTGCGCCGAAGAGAACCTGACTTGCGTTTCAGGGTGGTACAGACGATGAGGTCCGTGAACAGGAAGAGGGATCGGTCCTTTTTGCCACCGATGGCCTTCTGTGGGGCCCGAGGTGGAATTCAGATGGGGTGCAGAGTCCAGAAGCCCACCCACTGGCCCACAGTGCCCAAGGGGATGGCAAGGCCCAGGTAGGGGAGAGGGCTCTCCCTGGCTGTCTAAACACTGAGGAAAGTGTAGACTCAACCAGGCTCCTGTTGGAGTGGAACAGCAAGGAGATCCGTGGGTACAGGGTAAAAAAGAACAATCTAAGAGGGAGGTAGGGACAAATGGACAGGCAACAGACACTGCTTACCACTTCAGTGACCATCTCCTGCCTCAAGAACCGCCGTAGAGGGGCCTGGAGCTGTGGAGCAGAAGGGACTCAGCGTCTCAAAGGTAGCTCCTAATACGTACCCACTCCACAAACCCCGGTGACTTCTCAGCCCCACTGCCTGGTCCAGACAGTGGAAGCAACATCATATCCACCCTCCCCACACTGTGCTGTCAGGCCAAGGACACATGGGCAGGAGGACACAGATGGGGTGAGCTGGTGATCAGAGGTGCACGTAACACCGCAACCCCTGAGATGGACATGGGCACAGTCACAGTTCCAAAGACAGATGCAGACATGGAAGCTGGGGGGACAGGAGGGGTGGGGTGGGGAAGCACGCACATCCTCCATGCCCTCAATGTGAGCCTCGATCTCCTGCAGCACGCGGGCATGCCTCTCTGCCTCTTCAGCACTCCGCACGCCCTTGTTGATGCGTTCAGCCACCTGCTTGATATTCCTCTGTGCATCCAACAGCAGAGGGTGATCTGGGTGGTCTTCAGGTGTGTGCTTCAGGAGGTCCTGGGGTGAGAACAGGCACCAGACCTGCTTGCTTAGCTGTCTGGGAAGCCCAACTCATTGCTGCAGCAGAGGACTATGGGTAGACACCAGGGAGGACTTCCTTTTCTACCTGACCCCTAGAAATCCTGATACCAAGCTCAACCAGGAGGGGGCCCCAGGGTCTCTCCTAGATCCTCCCATGCCTCCAGGCCTTACCTACCTTCACCAGAAGCTCGTAGCGTGGGATCCGCTGCACAGGCTTGATCATGAGGTCAGATAGAGCCTGCTTCTCCTTGTTTTCCCGCATGCTTTGCTGAAACCCAAAGCAGGGTGAATGAGATCCATGTGAGAAATGATGTATCAGAAAGGGACTATCCAGGGGCTGGGGAGATGGCTCAGTGGAATAAGCACTTCCCTGGCAAGTGCAAGGGCCTGAATTCAATCCCCGGTTCCTCCAAAAAAGAAAAAAGAAAGAAAGAAAGAAAGAAAGAAAGAAAGAAAGAAAGAAAGAAAGAAAGAAAGAAAGAAAGAAAGAAAGAAAGAAAGGGACTATTCAGAGATGAGCTCCTGGAAAACTCCTCCAGCTCAGCCCAGGAGCAGAGGCTGGCCATGGTACCCCAGTTGGAAACTCCTGGTGCCCTCAGAGCTAGCTCCTGGGAAGGGTCACTGCCACCCCGTGGCCTACCCCCACATACCTCCAGGAACTTGAGAAAGGCAGGCTTTGTCTCCTTAGCCACACGCACGGCATCTTTCGCATTGAGGAAGTTATCAATGTAGGCAGAATAGATGTTTACCAGGACATCTTTGGAGAACTGTGGGTGAAAAGGCAGTTGGGGACCCTCAAGGCATCCTTTATCCCACTTCACATTGTCCTGGTTTCCCCTAATTGATTAGTGAACATCTTTTCCTTACAACTGGAAATGATGCTGTCGTGACAGTGCCAGGCACATGCTTCTGTGTCTGCGCCTATAGGTATGTACATGTTTTACATGTGACCTTGATACTAGGTGTGCACAATGGTTAACCTACATCAGGAGCTTCACTGGACTGAGAACCACCTGGGAAATCAGTATAGCACACACGGGTGCGTCTGTCAGGGTGCTTCCAGAGACCAGTGGCATGTAGGACAGCACACAGGAGGGGGACCAGAGCGAATAAAAGTGGAAGGAGGAAGCCCTCCAGCTCAGCCCACCTACTTTGCTTCTTGGCTACCGTGAGAGGCACAGCATCCTCAGCCGTGCCTTTCTGATTGTCTCCCCATGGACCTAAAAAGAATGCAGCCTGCTGACCACAGACTGAAACTCACGGGCAGCCTGACCTGTGAGGGGACCACACAGCACAGGAGAGCCGGGACCTGTGGTAGACTCCTCCACCGTTCACGATGGGTGATTTTGATCAGGTTATTCATCTCTCTCTGCTTCAGCCATCAACTTTTTCCTTTTTTTTTTCGGAACTGGGGATTGAACTCAGGCCCTTGCGCTTGCCAGGGAAGCGCTTATTCTACTGAGCCATCTCCCCGGCCCCAATTTTCATTTAATTTTTAGACAAGATTTCTTTTCTTTTTTTTTTTTTTTTTTTTTTTTATTTATTTATTTATTTATTTATTTATTTATTTATTTATTTATGTGTGTGGCCAGCTCAGCCCACCAGGGGGCGGGGCTGTCTGGCATGTGGTGCTGGGGGATTGAACCGCGGTCCCTGTGTTTTGCTTAGCTTAGCTTGTTCTAAGTAGGTGCTTTAGACCACTGAGCCATCTCACCAGCCCTAGACAAGATTTCACTATGTATTTCAAGTTGGCCTTGAACACACAGCGATCCTCCTTCCTCAGTTTCTCCTGTATCAGGATTACAGCATCACCATGCCTAGCTTTTCAGTCATCAACTTTAAAATCAGATTTATAAGTATATCTTCTTCACAGAGGTCTTTTTTTTCCTCCCCAAGTGCTGGGGATTAAACCCAGGGCTTTCACACTGATCTTTACCCCTAGCCCTTTTATTTTATTCTGAGACAAGGTCTAAGTTGCCCAGGCTTGAGTCCAATTGCTGAGCCTTTTGCCCCTCAGCCTCCCAGAGTGCTGGCACTACTACAGGCCTGTGCCACTGTGCCCTAGCTCTCACGGGGTACCGGGTACACATAACGGATTTAGCATAACGCCTAGCATGTAAGTGCCAGCGGTAGCTATGATTATTAAAATTACTAGTAGAGAAAAGAGCTAATCAGAACAAGGCCAGTGTCAGTATCAAATGATGCCCAGGGGAGGGGCAGGGTAGTAATCGAGGTTCACGTTAACACAGGACACCACCAGCATCCATGTGACATCTGGGTCAATGTTACCACCAGCTCTGGGTCAGGACTAGGGCCAGGTCAGAACCGGCCATTGGAGGTGGGCCCAGATCTATGCTTATGTCTCGTTGGGACTGGAGTCCATGTCAGAATCTGACCATATCTAGGGTTGGGAAACGTCCAGGTTCAGATCAGACCTGAGGTCACAGTATCTGGCACAAACGGGGTAGGAAGTGAACAGCACGTGGGGTACTCACCGACTGGACAAGCAGGGCCCCCACCTTCTGCCGGGCGTGCCAGGTCTGCACACAGCGCCGCACCTGCTCGAGGAACTGCTCATGATGTTCCAGAAGCTCGGGGATCTGGCCGAAGATCTCGTCCACCAGCGACGGGTCACACAGCAAGGAGTTCTCTGGCTGCTTCAATGGCTGCATGTAGCCCTGGGGGACCCACAGGTCACTGTGCTTTCCTGCAGAGCTGGCGCCCTCACCCCACCTGCAGCCTCTGGGGGAGTGCACAGGGGGTCACTGGGGCCTCTGCTCTTGCCCCGACTTCATATCTCCTTCATTCCACTGGAGGTTCCAGAGGGAATGGGGAGCCCTGTCCCCACACCTGAGCTTTTCCCTAGCCCAGGGCCTGGCATAAAGCGGAGGTAAAGGGGCTCAGGAAAGGTTTTCTGGATGCATGAACAGAACTTGGAATGAGGAAAGCAAGGGAGAGGTGCCTGAGAGGCCCTCTAAGCTATTTACTATTTGTTATGTTCCTGGCACTGTTACAGGAACAAAAAGTTCCTGCTGGGGCCGGGGAGATGGCTCAGTGGAATAAGCGCTTCCTGGCAAGCTCAAGGGCCTGAGTTCAACCCCCGGTTCCACACACACACACACAAAAAAAAAAGTTCCTGCTGATACAGCTTGCATCTAGTTGGATGAAACACATGAAAGTAATACAGAAAAAATACATAGTGACATTTTATTTATTTATTTGACCTTGCACTTACCAGGTACACACTGTGCCACTGAGCTATATCCCTGGCCCTATTTTAATTTATCTTTAGGAAAAAAAGAACCTGCTGTTAATTAAATTAGAATTTACCACTAATCGTGGGATGAACTTCAGAGATGTTAAAAGGCGAGGACTGTGCATCTTAGAACCAAGTGCATGTGAAAATCACGGAGTAAGAGGTGATCCTGCTTAGCAGAAGACGCAGCAGGTTGGGGCATGAGGACCCCTGGGAAGTTACTGGATGCTTGTGGTGATACTAGCTAAACACTGAGTTAACAGGTTTCAGATGTGTTTGTCAACAAGTGGCTAAAACTGCTGCATTCCACCTCAAATCTGCAGTCAATGGTGTACCTGCGCACAAAATGCCCTCCTCAGTGGCTGGGGCTATGTGGAGAGGTTGCCCTCTACTGGCCCACAATGTAACTACAAGCTAAAGAAGCATTATTTGAAACGATGTCACTGCAACATATGTGCTACTGCTGTAACATTTATACTAAACATTAAAAAAAAATCTGGCATGTTTTGTAAAACAAACGAGAAAACCAAACTGCCTCTTGAAAACTAGAAAACTGCCTTCTAGAAAACTAGAAGCCTCTTGGCTGACTGGGGGTTGTAAAAAGCCTGGGGTGAAGAGACAGGCACGCAGCCCCCTCTTGGGCCTCTCTGGCCTGTGGAACATGCACTATGCCTGGACAGGGTCTGGGGCCTCCAAGAAGAAACTAATGCCACTCACCTCTCAGTGCCACACCCCACAAAGAGACAGCACACAGGGGGTGGGAGGGGGGAGGGAACAGTAAACAGAGGCAAGAAGCCCAGAGAGAACATTTAATCAACAAATGCACGCTAATCAACTACTGCATGTGGGGCCGCAAGCCCTGGGGCTTCAGACCCCTGCCCCTGTGGGGCTGGCAGCTGAGTGCAGTGGGCAGAAAACAAGAATGACGAATCAGTGCACGATTACATGCAGGGTACAGAAGGGGAACAGGTACCCCAGCAGGATGCCACAAAGGACTTGGTCAGTGTGCTCAGGGGAAAGAGGTTTCTTAGCGAGCAGTACTGAGGTTGAAGACAGGCTGCAAGAGTCACACCTAGGAAAGGGGACCACCCTGGGGTCCAGGTTCAAATCCTATATCTCCTCCTGACTGCTAATCTCAGTATTTAACTCCTTTATTTTATTTTTAAATTTTATTTATGTGTGTGTGTGTGTGTGTGTGTGTGTGTGTGTGTGGCCAGCTCAGCCCACCAGGGGGCAGGGCTGGCTGGCATGTGGTGCTGGGGGATTGAACCGTGGTCCCTGTGTTTGCCTAAGCAGGCGCTTAGTCCACTGAGCTATCTTGCTGGCCCTTCCTTGTGGGAAATTGATATGTGTACTTAAACATATCACACTGAGCCGGCCACAGAGACTGGGTGTGTTGGTGCATGCCTGTAATCCCAGTTGCTGAGGAGGCTGAAAACAGGAGGATCACTAAGAATCCGAGTTGCATAGTGAGACCCTGTACCAAATACATAAAAATAAATAAATAAAATTCCCACAAGGAATGTAAACATTATGTATGTATATTAATAAACTAAAAATTTAAGAAAGACAACCCTCCAGGCATGAAAGAACAATACTGATCAGTTTTGTTGGCTGTGGTAAGTGGAGACCAGCACCAGGGCCATGGAGTCCAAACTCCATTTTTTTTTTTTTCTTTGAATGCCTTCAGGCTGGCTTGAGTTGTGGGGATCGAACCACAGCAACCTGAGCCTGACTGCTTTGTTGAAGCAGCCACTTAAAGAACTGAGCTAAGGGGCAGGCCCCCCAAACTCCATTTGAAACACCCCTAGGCTTCAGGCAATGCAGACGGGTGGAAGACTGGCAGGGTTTCCGCCCAGGCTATGACATTTCCTTGAATCAACTGCCACCACTTACTAGATGATGACCCTGGCACAAAACTTGATCTCTGAGCTTTCACTTCACCACCTGAAAACGGTGAAATCATATTCCTATCTCACAAGGTTAATACAAAATTTAATGCAGCCTGCCCCCCACCCCACGGTTGCTGGCAGCATGTGAAATCAGACACACGTTGCTCTGTAACCTGGAGACCGGGCAGCTAAGGCACAGGCAGGTCAAGGAAGTGGCACCAGCTCACAACACAAGTCCAGAGTGCAGCCAAGTTGGGATGCTGAGCGATGCTGCTGACCCCTGCCACGCCGGAGTCCCCAGGTTCGGGGGTCACCTCCCAGCTGGGTTTGGCTGCCTCGACCCACAGCTGCTGCGCACCTTCCCCATGTGCAGCTCTGCCTGGGGCTGGGGAGACTCCGAAGTGGGGAAAGATGCCAGGCCCTGCCTGCTCTCAGCTCGCGCCGTTGCTTCTGCCTCTCTGTCCTGGTGGCTTGAGTGGTGATATCAATCACTTTTTGAATCTTGGCACTAGGAAACAGGTAGCACTGGCTACATTTTGAGCCAGAATCAAAGCTCAGGAAAGGTAGTGGATTAGGTTAGGATCGCTCAACGGAAGGCAAGTGACTCAAACTCTAGACATGTGACTCTACTGCCTCCAGCCTTCACCTAGGGGATGACAAGGGACCCCTGCGTGTCTACTCTTCCTGCCTGACATTCTGGTGGGGTCCTTCCTAAGGCCTGCTTGTACACGTAGGAGAGCCCAGTCCCTCCCTGGCAGAGGCTCAGGCTCTGCCAGGTCAGGTCCTGCCTCTCTCTCAGCAGCCACTCAGGCCACCCCTGGCTTCCTAATGGCTCCAGGCTTCCCTGCTGGGCTGTACTTTCTGCGTGGAGCCGTGCCTTTGAGGGTCTCTCTCTCTGCTGAAACACTACCTACCTTCAGGTCTCTACTGCACACCTGCTCTTAGAGAAGCCTTTTCTTTGTTTCTTTTGGTTTGTTTCCTTTTTTTTTTTTTTTTTTCGCCGAATGCGTTTTTGTAATACTTGTGTATCATACCTTGAG